GGTCAGAAAGACATTACCCCACTTCTTCTCTGCCTCAGTTTCCCCCGGAGTACCCATTCCATGAGGAAACGTGGAAAAGGAGCGTGCACAGGTTGACTTGGAGCCCTCCTGCACGCAGCAAGCTCAGAGAGAAGCCCTGTGTCTAAGCAAACCTCCCCACTCCTCCTCCTCCTCCAGAACCCATCACACGGTGTATTTTTAGTCAGAAAGACATTACCCCACTTCTTCTCTGCCTCAGTTTCCCCCGGAGTACCCATTCCATGAGGAAACGTGGAAAAGGAGCGTGCACAGGTTGACTTGGAGCCCTCCTGCACGCAGCAAGCTCAGAGAGAAGCCCTGTGTCTAAGCAAACCTCCCCACTCCTCCTCCTCCTCCAGAACCCATCACACGGTGTATTTTTAGGCAACGACCACACTCTGCCAGACTGGACAAACCAGCTGCAGAAGTGACTAACCCTGACAGCAGGAAATTGAGCAGGCACACGGTGGGACCTGCCACAGCCAGCTCTGGATTGGAGGTGCTTACCAGAAAGCAGAGATCCCCCTACAAAGCGGGGGCACGGGGAGCTAGGATGTGCCACAGTGCATGGCTCTCCAGCAGAGAGATTCCTGGGATGCAGACAAAGCATCTGGGATCAGCATCTCCCCAAAAGGCTGATTTCTGGCTTGTCTGGGGGTTCTACCAAGACAGCGTGATGTGTTTCAGGTACCAAAAGCCCTCACTGCTCTCCTCTCCTCTCCTCCAAAATAGGTGCCCGTCTCTCACTCAGCATCTGGGTCACTGGACTCTGACCCACAGAAGGCCTGGGCTCCTGGCCACCAGTGTTACCTGCTCCTTATCACTGCTGTTTGTCCAACACAAGGCAGCTATGAGAGCCAGCTGCTTCCCTTGACTTTTACCACATTCCAGACTCATTCCTGGTGTGACACAGGACTGACGTGCTCAGGGCCAAAGCTGTACAGATCACAGTGGTCTCACTGCTAAGGACCCGCTGCCTGGCACTCATGTACAACAGGAACCCATCAAATGCAAAGCTGAGGTGGCCTGGGGAGGTCTCAGCTGATGCAGAGTCATTGGACTGAGTGGTGAGGCTCTTGCCAGGTAATTACACCCTGCAGATCCCAGCCTGTGTGTCCAAGAGGCAACTCACACCTCCCCTCCTCCAGCCACACCTCAGGTGGCTTTCGATACGCACTAAAACAAATGGCACATGAGGAATGTGGGGAACAAAACCCATCAACTTATCACCCGGCTCAGGACGTGGCCAGCAAGCCTCTGAGATCAACAGGGACAGTGCAGGAAGAGCCCAGAAAGCTGCATTTTCAATATTGAAAGCCAACAGCAGTTTTGGGGTGCTGGATTAAGGGGAAGTAGCCTGTTCCCCCTAAGAAACAGAAGATGGAAAAGCTGCTGGCACATGGTATGCACGGCACCAACTCACTTCACCCAAATAGCTCGAGTACAGCTACCCAGCTCTTGAGATCAACTCCACTCCAGGAAAAGATCTTTTCATTCCTCCACTTCTCTTCTTATTCTTGATAAGAAATACATGGAAACAGCGTGTATAAGAGCTAAGTTTCCTTAAGGTGTGTCCGTGCTGTGTTGCCCCAACACGGGCAGTAAAACATTCGAAGAACTTTGTCAGTGTCTTATTTTTGGTCTTCAGTTCCGTATTAAGGGCAATGTCACCATCAAATGATGACACCAGAGCTGAGGAGGGACTATGGAGCAGGAAATAAAGGACATTAAGTCCTCCAGACTGCTGCCTTCCAGGCAGAGAGGGCAAGTGCAATAGTGAAAGATACAAGTCACACACACCCGTATTTCACACACCAATTCCCAGCTCGATCCTCGGGAGCATTCGATTGTCTTGTGACCATCCTGAGTCACACAAGAAACCAGATTCCTTTAGGTTTATGACAGAAGAAACTGAAGTTCATGTTTGCACAGGGCACACGGGCCGGGCTTGATGCAGACAGAGCGACCCCGCTTCTAGTTGTGTCTCTGCTGAAGCAAAAGGCTCTTACACTCAAGTCTCAGCAATTTTGGGGGAGGAGTGGGAAATACAGCTGCCTGAAAGGCCTCAT